AATGCCGTGAGCCAGGAGAGGACGCCGTACCGCGCCAGGCTTAGGAGCCGTGGAGGAACAAACGCCGAAGCCGAGCCAAGGATGCAGGAGAAAGCAATTTCCACTGAGGGTGCTGGTAGGCAGTCCCACCCCTAACGCTAATGTGGCCCAAGATAGGAAATTAGTTCCTAGAACGACCAAAATGTGAACCGCCCAGAGACCCCTTCGGGGATTAGGGCGGTATATCAAGTGTAAAGTTAAAAAAAAAAAAAACAGAACTAGCAGTGTTATTCAGGACTATTCTCCCCAGGCTACGCTGCTACATCTGTAGTCCCGCAGTACACCCAGGTTTCCCCAGTGGGGCAAACAGCGGCTCCCCAGGATCATTTATGTCAGGCAAGTGGCACAAGAAGGAAGGCTGGAGCCCCATTTCCCCATGTACTATGGTACCAGTCTGAAGCTGGGCCCAGCCCACGTGGGAATCAAGCACAGTACTCCCAAGTGCACATCTGGCTGACAGGACCAGGGTGGACTTGAGGTGAGGTGGAAAGGACATAAAGACAAAACCCTAGACACTCAGGTGTCAGCTAGCCCTGGCAAAACAGGCTATTGAATTGTGCTTAATACAGAAAGTCCTACAATCAGACCCCATTTAAAGGATCTTAAGCAGCTTGTGTTGGAAGAGATCCCGCTTATGTCTGAAACCCCCAGAAACACTGTCAATAGGCGAGGATCCATAGCTAAGGGGCAGAGGACCTGCTTCGTATGCAGATGGTCCCAAGTTCATTCCCTAGCATCTCCTGTTAAAGGATGTCAAATAGCAAGAGCTGGAAAGGACCCGTCTTTCTCACGGAGAGCTGCTGCCGATCACAGCCAACCATACTGAGTCAGATCAATGGTCTTCCTCATGATAAAACTGATTTATACGTTCATACACACAAAGTGGGAAATGAGTATTTAGGACAGAGGTGTCAAACTAATTTGTTACGAGGGCCAGATCTGACATAAATATCACTTTGTCGAGCCATGCCATGTGTGCCATAATATGTAATGCCGGGTATAAAGGACACAGGCAAACCTAATTAACGATATTATTTTTTACTCAAAATACAAACTAGAGCAATTCCTAGCAGTGAAAGCCATTGATTTACTGGGGACCCCACAAAAAGCCCCAATAAATGTATTCAATCATATGCAAGACTAGTTTCCCCCCCCCAAGGGATACCATAAAAGGGGGAGTACCTTATATTCCCATACATACCATTTGCTTGCAGCCTAGGTAAGAGCCCTGGATGGGCTGTTCCTGGTCCCGGGCTTTAGGATGTGCACTAACAAAGGCCCGAAAGAAGACCAGATGGGTGGCTGATGGTGCGATTGCTGGATCTCTTCTTTAGTTGGTAATGGGGATGATACATGTTTTGCAAGCAGAACAGATTGGCCACTGTCTGTAGCAACAGACCGATCCTGCTGGGCCAGTGGCCTGACAGGATAAGATGGGTGAAAGGCACTGCAGAGTTGTGGGGTGACCCACAGAAGAAGCAGCCACCTGCCATGGCCAGGAACATTCCTCTGGATAAGGGCTGGGCATATACCCACTAGTTAGCAAGGTCCTACTCATGAATATGGGGGAGGGGGAGATAAAAAAGGATGATAGCTTGAGGTTTTCCCTGTAAGAGGCACAAGAAAGGAGAGCCAAGGAGGAAGGAACTCTGGCATTTCTCTCAGCAAGGAACCCCAGAGTTGAGGAAGAGAACCAATTCCCATCTTCACTGCTTCTGTTCTGGGGCCAATCTGGATGATGAGGGGAAAATCATCAGGGTCCTATGCAGAGTTGTGGTGGTGTGAGATGCATCATGCACACATCTTGCACAGTTTCTTAACCCAGTTCAATTGTTCACAGAAGAAAGGGCTCCCTTAAGGCAAAGAAATGGAGGTCCATCTTCAATCTTGGCCGATCCAGTAATGACTCAAAACGCAAGTTGAACAAGCCAGAGGAAAAAGGTAATGGGCTTCAATGGCTGATACTTCTTGAGTGCACAAGTGGGCATAAGGACTGTGGTCCCTGTTCACGCAGCAACTGCAGACTCCAAGTCCCATGTCTCAGTGCAAACAGGAGCTAAGTTCACATGCAGAAACAGCATTCGGGGCTGGTAAGAAAGGGGAGACTTTCTACAGTTATTTCCATGAACGTTTCTCTCAAATTAAGCTACATCTCCCAGAGATGTCGAGAGTGCAAGGATTTTGCTCCTCATACAAGGTGGCTCAATCTTGGCTTTCTTTTCCAGAAGTGGACAAAATGCGATTGCGACCAGCCAAAAGCATGGATTCCCTTAGCTCTATGCCCTGTGTGAGTGACGGTAGGTGCAGAAATCACTGAACATTATTTAGATTCACTGCCGGGAGCTCCACTCCCAATCTACTTAAGTTTGGCTCCATGTTGGGCACCCTCAAATACGTCTTCCCTAAGCCCATCGTCTCATTGTGCATTGGTCATCCATACAAAGCCACTCCTGGAGGAGAGAGCAGAGCATGCCCTTTCCTACTTCTTTTAAGCCCTGTTAATAGCGGTGTAGAATCTCAGGAGAGTGAAGGTTCCATTCCCTGCATGAAGTTAGAGGTCAACCTTAGAGGCCCCCCCAGAGGTGTCTCATGAGACTCTGGGAATGATGATCCCTCATTCCTGATGGAAGCACACAGGCCAAGCATCTCTGGTCAGTGATGGGCCCTCCTCTGGGCCATGGTCCTTGGAAGATGCTCCACTCCTGACACCAGCCCTGGCTGCCATTTATGAACCTCCTGGGGCATGGGGATGGAAAGGCTAGGATTGTGGTTACCAAAGGGTGCTGTTTATGTTCTTGTTCTATGTTCCCTATTTTTTTCTGAGACAAAGTATTGTGTCTCCAAAAGTACCAGGCAGCTAGAACTTGGGAATGGAACTGACACAGCACCACAGCTGTGTACTCTGTGCTCTCCTGAGCTATGAGAAATTCTGGAAGTGATGCCATTCCTAAGTGGGAAACAGTGAACCCCCTCTTCCCCAGCACTGCAACGTCAACCTAGAGTGGGGTTGGGGGGCTAGACTTTAGAGTTCATGCAACTCCAGTATTACCTTTAGCTCGCCTCCCCCCCCCCCCGCCAGATCCCTCACTTTGATCAGGCCAACCCATCGTAACAAGTGTTCCCTCTAAACTGAGTTAGTGTGAGCTAGCTCAGTTTTTTAGCCTCCGGCTCACACATTTCCATCTTAGCTCCGGAAGGATGGCTCCAGAGCAAACTAATTTAAGTAGCAGCCAAATCGCTCACTCACAGCTTTAATGCCAGCAGCTCACAAAGTTGAATTTTTGCTCACAAGACTCCACAGCTTAGAGGGGGGGTTGGTGGCAGACCTATTTGGGCTAATTAATCAGCAATTTCACAACCATACTGAGGCTATAAGAAGGCCCCTTGAAAGAGGTTGGGCCACCGACAGGTTTCAGCCTTTCTAGGGCCTCTTATTGACCTGGCTGTCTTCTCTGCATCCAGATGTTCCTCAGCTGGGGAGAAAGAGGCCCCAGAAGCAGCTTGTTCAAGCCCGCGGCGAGAGTTTTAACAGCCGTTCTTCCCAAGACAACAGCTCCCTGGAGTTAGAGAAGATCAAGGCTGAGGAAGGAATGGGTGAATCTGAGGGGGAAGCCACTGCCAAGTCGGAGCCCACCACCCCACAGGCCAGCCGGTCCAGCCATGTTGGGGTGGCCCCTCAAGGGCGATCACCCCAGTCTGCACGGAGCCGGGCAGAAAAGTGCGTTGGGGTTCACATCTCGGGACCCATCTCCGTCACGGTCCCTTTCCACATTACCTCCAACCTCACACTGTCCCGACTGACTCGGGGGCTGGAGTGTCCCGCCCTGAGCCACTGCACGTTGGAGAAGGAAGCTCCCGAGACTTCTTTGGCCACAGAGGGGACGCCTTCTTTGAAGGAGAACGAAGACAAGCCTAAGCCGGTGTCCGAGAGCAGCATGGACAAGGAAGATCCTACAGGTAAGTCAGCTGGTTTTCCCGTATGGCTTGGCCACTCACTGGGTTCGCTTGGGTTTTAAAACCTACCACTGGCCAGAAGGCTCAGTCACATTATAAACATCTGTCATCTGTTTTCTGCAGATGTCCACGTACAAAGCTAGGAAGTCTCTGGTTCAGATTTCACTTTAGTGAAAAACTAAATAGTGAGGTCCTAATACCGTCACCCAAAACGTCAAAATCTGGGGAGAAATTTGGTTGGGGAGCATTCAGAAAGCATACCTGGAGTCCATTCGTCTCCATTTGAAAGGATTATCTTTTGACACTAGGTTGTGGTCCCCTTGCAGTCTTTCCCACGCCTCCTCTAAGAGCATTTGGGAAGCCATCCTTCCATCGGAGATTGGAGGCTTGCTTTGCACCAGAGCGTGAGCCCTTTGCCACCCACAAAAAGAGGCAGTGACACTGTTCATTCCTGACAAGCGGTGGCAGTGGGAATAGAAACAGCAGGAGAACACTGTAGTGATCCACCCTGTTTCCCACTCTCCTTGCCCTCAAGTGTTGAAATGGCAGTGGAGGAATCTGTGTGTGTGAAAAACTTAAGGACATAAGAAGAGCCCTGCTGGATCAGACCAGTAGTCCATCTAGTCCAGCAGCCTATCACACACAGTGGCCAACCAGGTCCTTTGGAGAGCCAACAACAGGGAATAGAGGCTGAGGCCGTCCCCTGATGTTGCCTTCTGGCACTGGGATTCAGAGGCTGGACGTGGAGGTGCACTTTAGTCATCATGGCCACTAGCCACTGATAGACCTATCGAATCCCCTTTTAAAGAGCCAGTAGTTGGATAGGAGTGTGGACTCTAATCTGGAAGAACTGGGTTGGATTCCACACTCCTCTGCATGCAGCTGCTGGGGTGACCTTGGGTTAGTCATAAATTCTTCTAGAGCTGTTCTCTCAAGAGCAGTTCTTGAAAGAGCTCTCAGCCCCACCTACCTCACAGGGAAAGGAGATTGTAAGATGCTCTGAGACACCTTCCCAGTCACAAAAGAGACTAATCAAGGTGCTAGTCCCTGCTACAATGACCCTACTTATTCTTTTGTCTTTATGCATTGCAGAACCAGACACAATAGCGGAACGTTCGCTGGACCTAGAGAACCAGTTGTCCCTGGAAGTCCAGGATTCCTTTTCCTTCCTGGACAGCCAGGATGCTTGGCTGGGGGACAGCCTTGATAGTGACCAGCCCTGGAAGAATTTGCACATGGCCCCCGATTTTGCAGCCAGAGAGACAGATGACTTCCCAGCCATGGATGATGATATGGGAAGCGGATTCATGAATGAAATGATGAGAGAAAGCTGGCAGGTTAGTTATGCTGGGGGGGGTGGGGGAATATTTGCATAGTTCAAAAGACGGTTCATCTCTGCCCTCACCTGGATAGCCCAGGCAAACCCAATCTCATCAGATCTTGGAAGCCCTGGCCCTGGCTAGTATTTGGATGGGATACCGCCAAAGGAATACCAGGGTTGCTGTGCAGAGACAGACGACCGTAAGCCACCCTTGCCTCCAAGCCCCAATAGGGGTCTCCAGAAGTCAGCTTGACTGGGTGGCAAAAAAAAGACAGTTGATCTGCCTGGCTAGAATTCACAATGGCTGTCTGTGCATGTATCGACAATGGACAGTTATCTAAGGAAGCCATGCTCTGTTTTAGTTTATGACTCTGACATGACCTTTTATTGTTCAATTAGGTCACACTGCCCACAGTGTTTTGTTCAGTCTCTAGTCTCTGCCCTACCCATCCCTGCATTTCATCTACCAGATGATTGTGTGCAGGTTCCAGGACACGAAGGAAGGGATAGAAATATTTTGAGGTTGCCCAGATTTCAGAAGCTTCTTGAAACCAGGTTCCCCTCCTGAATGCTGGTATTGTCATGGCAAGAAAGGAGAAGGAGGGAAGAGCATGAAGACTTGGATAAGCAGGTTATCACCAGTGTCACCAAGAAAAGTTGTTGAAGGACCTGTAGTTCAGTGGGTAGAGGACACGCTTTGCATGCAGAAAGTCCCCAGTTCAGTTCCTGACATCTCCAGTTAAAGGACCTTAGGATCAGGTTTTAGAAAGACTAATACTGAATACAGTGGACCAGTGGTCTGACAACTTCTTATAATAGTGACACTTTAAAAAGTTCATATTTCAGTAGCAGAGCATACAGAAATCCCAGTCTGAATTCCTGGCAGCTCCAATTAGAAAGGATCTCAGGTCATAAGTATTAGGAACAATTCTTCTTTGCCTGAGAACCCAGAGACTGGCTGCCAGTCAACATAGACACATCATCATCATTATCATCAACATCTTCGTATGGCGTTGTGTATAGAATAGCCAGGAGATCCTAAGATAGTCTGGCAGCCAGAAGCTAGCATTATGCACTACTAGGTGGTGAGCTAGACTTGTTTTTAAGGCACAAGACACTTCAGAGTTGGTTTTGCCATTGCCTGCCCCTGCGTCATGACCCTGGTATTCCTTGGAGGTTGCCCATCCAAATACTAGCCAAGGCTGACCCTGCTTAGCTTCCGAGATCTGACGAGATTTGGCTAGCCTTGGCTATCCAGGTCAGGGCCAATGAAAAAAGAACTGTGACAATTTAGCGCTTGGTACTATATTCATAAATCATAATATACAATAACAGAAAACAAGTAATATATATAGTGAATGTAGATGGTGGTCTCCGGAATGGTGACGTATTGAAAATATACTGTTGATTCACTTAATCATAAAGCTATGCTTACAGCTATGTTCTTCAATGGGCTATAATCACCAAGAGAAATGAATTGTTGAAAGACAGTTTATGTACACATCCTTGTTCAGAAGAAGATCATTGTCGAAACGGCACACCATTCCGGAGACCACCGTCTACATTCACTATATATATTACTTATTTTCTGTTATTGTATATTATGATTTATGAATATAGTACCAAGCGCTAAATTGTCACAGTTCTTTTTTCTTTTTTCATTGGTCTTATTACTGTGCCCATTCTTGTAACTATTCTATCCAGGTCAGGGCAACAAAGACACATGCTGAGCTAGATGGACCAACAGTGACTCCATGTAAGGCAACTTTGTTTGTCCACATTAAAAAGCAAACATCCATATGACTCCTTTAATACTTGTTAGTTCCCTGTTAAATCATTAACACATCACAATCTCATAATATAGAACTATGATTTTAATACATAGGTTAACATTTTACCTTAACGGAATTAAATCCAGTACCTTTAATCAATGATTCACTTTCTTTATCGATGTTCTGCAAAAACTAGATTTTGCATCTCTAGAAGTGAGTAAAACAAAATTTTTTTGGACAATTCTCTCCAGACAAACCGTTTTTAATACGTATTGCTTCAGTGTATTTATCCCAGAGCACTGGGCAAGTAGTGCTTCAGCAGAGCAAGTTATGAGAAAGGTGATAAACGTATAGTGAGAAGTACAGAGTAACAGAAAATACAATAAAGAAGTAAGTGTGTGTATGAGTTGGGACGGCGTCTTGTTAAAACCTTTCCCTCCCTCTTTGTCTCCCTCTTTATTCCATCATTTCTAGCGGGAGACATTTTCTGCAGCTCCATCACTGAACTATCTGTCCATCGAGGAGTGTATGAATGAGCAGTCAGATGAGGAAGATGACCAGTACTATCTGGCCACGGGTTGTCTGGATAAGGAAGAGCACTCCAAGGAGGTGGACTCTGAAGAAGTCTACCTGAGTGCATACGATGATCTCAGCCCTCTAGCTAATGAATTAAAACATTATCAGCATCTTAATGACACTCCAGGTGCCCCTCTCATAGGAAATCTGACAGAAGATCAACCCTTCAGTCTGGTTGGAGAGTTTTCATCTGGAGACCCAGCAGTATCTGAAGCAGAGGTGGAACCTTTGCCAGGCAGCCCTCCAGCAAATGACCCACAATTCGTCAATTCACATTTAGATTCAGAACAAACAAGCCTGGTAGAGGAAGACAATGGGGTGCCCCTGAGTTCCAGAAGCGATTCCCATGAGCTGGAAACGTCTGAGAGGAATGGAACCAAAGCCACCAAGGTAAAGCCCAGCTTTCCTTTGCCTTTGCAAGCAGAAGATGCAAATGCTGGAGATGAAGATGACCTCCTCCTTGAAACAGGATGCTTGCTTCAAGCAGAATGCCCTCCCAGAGTTTCAGAAGAAAACCAGGAAGAAACTGTGGCTCCAGATTATGTAACTCAGGCAACTCAACCGAGCCTCGAGGATGAGCAACAACTACAAGCTCAGGTCGCATCAGAAACGGAGCAGGTCCAGTGGCCTCCCTGCATGCCTAGCTTAGAGGCTGATGGACCAGCTCCAGAGATGGCTGGAACAACTGATGAACACGTGGACTGTGAGTTCCTCCTTCAAGACGCTCAGCAGCTACTGAGCAGAGAGATTTCCCGACTGAACAGAGAGATTTCCCAAGCTTCTTCATCACTGGAAGATCAAAGGTTGGCTGGGACTCACACCCAGCGCTCTCTCTCGTTAGGCAGTACATCTGAAATGCCATATTCTGAGGTGCACCCTCTGTCTGCCCCCGTGCTCAGCTTGAGTCCTGAGGAACCTCCTTGGTCCCACACCTCCTTCCCCTATGCCCCGTTGTCTGACAGCTGGACTGAGTCTTCTTCCTTGTTGCGCATGGCCTCTTTCCGTAAGAGCTGCCCAGAAACTCTTCTTCTGAAGAAACCTTATTATGCACCACCAGAAGGAGCTTCAGCTGCCCCTGAGCACAACGTGCAACCTGATGGAAGCGTCTCCATGAAAAAGACCTCCAGCACCGTCCGAGTCCAGCAGGTGAAATCTTTCCCGGTTATACCTCCAAAGCCACAGTTTGCCAAGACCCCTCCTTTCCTAGTGCCCATCTCTCCTACCAAGGAAGCGTCCATCCTGTGGCCTGACCCACCAATATCAGATCATGATGGGAATGAGGTGAAGAATGGGTCCAATGAGGACACTACGCACAAACCGCCTCGCCCCATCAGCTTGACCACTGACAGCAGTGAATCTATAGAAAATCTTCCTGCATCTTCTGAGACGCCCACCTCTCCAAGTAACCGCCTGAGTGGTTCGGGGACCCTTCAGAAGCAGCGGAATTCCATGCCGGTGTGTCTCGAGAAATATGACAGGGAAGATGAGAGCAGAGGGGACATGCTCCAAAATTTGCAGTGCTCCTCGCCTGTAAGTTTGGATAAATGCAGCCATTGGGCCAAGAAGGATGAGCTCAGCGGAGATGACCTCCAGCAGATGAAGTGCTCCCTTCCAGAGAATTTAGATACATGCGGCGGAAATTCCAAGAGGGAAGACGGAAAAGGGGAGCTACCTCCGAGGTATCAGCTGGCGCATGGCAAAGGCAGCGGGGCTGCTCCTCAGAAGCAGAGGTGGACCAACTGGCGCAACGGGGGGAGCATGTCCTTTGATGAGGCTGTTGCCCTTGCCAAAGAGAGGCATGTGGCTCAGGCACCAGTCAGAAGGATGCAGACCTATTGCTGTGGAGATGTCGAGGGTCTGCACAGCCTCTCCAGAGCAGAAAAACCTCCCCCTGTCCCGAAACCTGCCCTCAGACCTTTAGGACAGCGCCCGCTAAGACCTCTGAGCTGCACAGGCACAGCTGCATCCCCAGAGGCTCTCCTTTCGGGGAAACCACTTCTTGCTCAAGCATCGTCTGACATCATCTCAGAAGGCCAGCTTTCACCCAACCAGGAAGCGCCTTGCGTTCCTCGCGACCTTCTGTCCAGGGGCAGGCTGAGCTTGCTAAAGATGGGAAGACGCTTATCCATGTCAGAAGAGATACCGGGTGCAGCACGATAGCAACTGAGGTGACTGGCCTTGTAAGATAAATCGTGGGACTGTGGCCTAAAAAATGTTCGTTGCTCATACTGCAGCAGAATTCAGCTTGTATTCTTCCAGAGAAAGCCTTTCCAGTTTGTAAGCAACGGTCTGGTTAAACGCAGATCTTTTTTTCCCTGTGCAGAACTCTACTTGAAAATGCCTAGTTTTGTAACTCTTAATTGTAAAAGTGCCAGTCGGTAATAATGGACGGACCACGGCTCAGTGGTAAAGCATCTGCTTTGCATGCAGAAGGTCCTGGGTCCAATCCTTTGCCATCTCCAGTTAAAGAAGGATTCCAGGTTCAAGGAGAGCTAGGGAAGACCTTGGAGAATCAATGCCAGCCACGGCAGACAACATGGGGCAAGATGGATCAATGGGCTGACCATATAAGTGTGTAACTTCAGCAAAATAAACAGAATTTCCATCTAACCAAAGCTGGTAAAGGCCATATTTTTTCTATTAATTATTTGATTGTGTTTTTATTATTATTATTTTTAAATACATCAAAAATGCCTCATTACCCCTCGTGGCCAAGCTTGCAACATACTGATGCTTCCATCTGCACCTAGAGAAGCAAAACTTCCACCCTTCTCAGACAGCACTCAATATCAGCAGCAGGTCATGTCTGAGGCCGAACAATCCCTGCAGGGTCAACAAATCATAGTAGTCTCTGTAGCATCCTCTCTGCTCTCATGGCATGATAAATAAATGATACAAGCTAAGGGGGAGGGCCTGAAATCAATGTTCAGACAAAAAAATCTATGTATAACCTGGGTGGCATCTCTGCATACCTAAGTGCTGTCAAGTCGTGGGTGACTTATGGCCATCCCAGCAAGGGGTTTTAAAAAGCAAGTGAGAAGCAGAGGTGGTTTTCCATTGCCTTCCTTTGCAGAATCTTCCTCGGTGGTCACCCATCCAAGTAACAACCCCACTTGGAGCTTCCCAGATTCTGATGAGATCGAGCTATACCATGCGGCCGTCCCTCCCTGTATCTCTACTGGTTACAAATTAATATGAAAATAAGTATACAGGAGGGGTTTGGCAGCAGGATAGTAGAGATCCACCTAGTATACTTTTCTGATTCCAACGGGCCAGTCAGATGCTACTGCTTTAATGGCAAGGAATGAAGGCAGCAATCCACCCTTGCTGTTGCCTCCGCAACTGTTATTTGGGTATGTGTTACCGCTGAACATGGAGATGCTGCTTTGCTATTGCCAGATTCGAGTCCAGTAGCCCCTTAAGAGACTAACAAGATTTTCAGGGTATGAGTTTCAAGAGCCAAAGCTCCCTTGGTCAGATATGAGTTTTATTTTGCTATTGTGATGGTAAGACGAATGTGTCTAGTAAAGTTCCTTTCTCAAGCCAGCAGCCATGATCACATCTTCTGACATATCTATATCTCTAATTCCAACAGGGGGCGGGTTGTGCAGATACTTATTTCCACCAACAGGAAGCTCACTCTCCCCCAACAGCTTTTCCTACATAGTCAGTATACTTCCTGTGTCTGCAGAAAAATCCAAGAAGTAAAAAAATCCCTTGAGGGAGGGTTGAATTCCCCCCAATACCTTTTGAAATGGCCTCTGCAGGGATCTAACTCCAGGCATCAACAGTGAGAGATTAGAATGTTCAGGGGGCTGCCAGTGCCAGCCTGGGAAATCCCTAGAGATTTTGAGGTGGACTGTAAGGAGGGCTGGGTTTGGGGAAGGGAGAGGGCTCAGCTGGGTATAATGCCACAGAGTCCACCCTCCAAAGCAGCCATTTTCTCCAGGGAGACAGATCTTGAGTTCAGTTGTCTTGAGTTCAGTTGTAATTCTGGGGTGGTGGTCCTCCAGGCCCCACTTAGAGGTTTGCAACCCTAGGCCTGGCAGCAGTTTAGGGTCACCAGGTCCTCCTCTGGCCACCGATAGGGGATGGGGGGTAAGGTTGCCAGATCCAGGCTGGGAAACTCCTGGAGATTTGCGGGTGGAGCCTGGGAGGACAGGGACCTCAGTGGGGTACAATGTCACAGAGTCCACCCTCCAAAGCATCCATTTTCTCCATGGGAAGTTATCTCTATAGTCTGGAGATGAGCAGTAATTCCAGGCATCCCCAGATCCCACCTGAAGGCTGGCATCCCTAGACAGCACCCTCTGGGTGACTTGATACCACCTGATTTGCATGACTCAATTAGGCCCAGCTGCTTGCTACTGTTCATCAGCAGCCACCCTATGAAAGCCAGTGCGGTGCATCAGTTAGAGCTTCAGTTTAGGGTCTGCGAGACCCAGGTTCAGATCCCCATCTTGCAGTGGAAGCTGACTGGGTGATTTTGGACCAGTCACATACTTTCAGCCTAGCCAACCTCACAGGGTTGTGCAGATAAAAAGGAGGTGAGAATAATGTAAGCTGCTTTGGTCCCCACTGTGGAGAAAGACTGTAATTTTCCTAGATAGAGGTTGGAGGGAAGGGTGTGGAGATGGAAAGCTGAAGACACAGAGAGGCAGCTAAAGGTAGGTTGGCTGTTGGGTGGGAAGGAAATTGTGTTGCCAACTCCAGGTTGGGAAATTCCTGGACATTTGTGGGGTGGAGCCTGGGGAGGGTGGGATTTGAGGAGGGGAGGAACTACAGATCAGTATAATGCCATAGCTGGAGGAGAAAAAGAAAGGGGGGGCAGAAGGGAAAAAGAGTGTGAGAGAGGTAGAGGGAGACAGGAGGAAGCAAAGGTGCAAGGAATAGGATAACCATTCTGCAAGTTTCTTGCGGGTCTCCACTTGTCTTCCCCTAATTAAATGTTGTGTGATGACTCTGTGCAAAGGTTCTCTTTGTTTGCCTACAATACGTTTCATTGCTACAGTAGCTGATTAGTGTGCATTCTTTGTTCAGAAAATATATGAATTTTCTAAACGGAACTGTTGATTTAAAATCCGTGTTATTTCCTGAGCAAACATGCATATGAACTGGTTGCCGCTGTAACAATTAAACCATAACGGTTTGCAAATAATGCAGCCTTTATACACCCTTTGGAGCATCCAAACGTTTAGCCATGCAACCCATATGCGCTGCAGAATTTTTATCCCACCTAGAAAGATTTCTGTTTGGCCCTTTTTATATACACACCATGTTCCTAAGCAGAACTGGGCACAGGAAAGCTAGCAGTGCCATCCTAAGCACAGTTGCACCCTTTGTGGAAATCAGTGGGCTTAAAAGGGGATAACTTTTATCTGGATGACACTGCAATATTCCAGTCTTCCAGACAGAGATTGATTTCGCACTAGAGCTGCCTCGATGTTGCGCCGTTTGCCCTGATACTGTTGGTCAATTTCACACCCAAAGCTGCGGGGCTGCATTCTGACTCGCGGCTTCGCCCGATTTCCCCCGCAGTTTCGTGATCCTGTTTTTTGAGGATCATGAAACTGCGGAGGAAATCGGGCGAAGCCACAGGTCAAATGTAGCCCCGTGGCTTCGGGTGTGAAACTGACCAATAGTATCGGGGCAAACGGCGGCGCAACATCGAGGCAGCACTAGTGCGAAATCAGCCAGAGTTTAGCAAAAGACTGGTCTGTTTGGAGTTCAGAACTTTCTAATCAAGGTCCAGCAGTTGCTGGGCAAAATCTCCCCATGCTATTTAATTTACCAAAAATATTGATAATCTCAGAACAGAACACGTTACAAGACTTATGTAGCAGAACAGGAATATTGTATTGGCATCATCTTGCGATCCTGTTAATACACAAGGAGGTGTCTCCCATGATGACTTGCTACAACCCGGTTCTACTATAATATATAATATAAGCCACTATAATAAAATAATATAAGCCACTGCAATAGATTATTGCATACAGAAGAAAGGAGGTGATTTTTTGCTTATTTCCCTGTCCCATGACAGCCTCAAATGCCCCTGAAATGCTGCTCCTAGGAGACACCCAGGAATAGCCTGGAGGGAGGGACTGGAGGTCTCCTGCAGGAGGGTATATCAGCAACTGCCTCCCCTCTTCACACATGGCAATCTAGATGAAATCCAAACCATGACTTTGGGGACACTTATAGTGCTTAATGTCAGTAGTTAGGTAGCTGTCCCACAATTCTCTCTTTTATACAGCAAAGTATACTTTTAACCCAATATGTTTGACTGTCATGATTCAGTTTGAAATTATCTGTTGGTTTAAGATATGCATTCAGTTCTGATTTTATTTTAAAGCAAAACATTTTCAAAATAAAACAATTGTTAAGACTAACATTGAAAACTAATCGTTTTTTAAAAATACACAATTGATGTGAATCTCCCCTTGACTGGTTACTTAAAAGTGAATGAGGAGGGCAGTGAGCTCCAGCCATTTTGTGATTTGCTGCCATGTTGCTGTCCCAGGCTTACCGGTGGCCTTTGATTCATTCAAGACTCAGGTCGCTTTAAAAAGCTGGCCCTTTAGATTCAGCCGCAAACAGTTGGTTGCCATCACAGATTAATAAAGAAGAGATTGGATTTATACCCCGCCCTTCACACAGAGTCTCAGTGCGGCTTACAAACTCCTTTCCCTTCCCCTCCCCACAACAGACACCCTGTGAGGTAGGTATGGCTGAGAGAGCTCTGAGAGAAGTGCTCTTTCAAGAGCAGCTCTTATCAGAACTATGGCTTGCCCAAGGTCATCCAGCAGGTGCAAGTGGAGGAGTGGGGAATCAAACCCAGTTCTCCCAGATTAGAGTCTGTGCACTTAACCACTACACCAAACAGTTCGCAGCAAATCTCTACAATATTGCAACATCTAAGTTGAGTCCAAAAAGTTTTAGATGTCCCAATAAGAGCCATCTATCTGTGGTTCAGAGCTGCTGCACAACAGAAGCCTGGGCAAGGCCAGTGTGAGGCATCCTGGCAAGGCATTTTGTGATCTGTGTCTTAGGACTCCCATTCTGCTTCTTTTGACACCTTTAGAAAAATTGTCTGCTCAAAGGTTGCCTTTCAGTTCAGCCAGTCTTGGGCCAGAAGGGAACGATCTGGGGCCATTAAATCCCTGCTCAGGCTCAAGGTGAATAATTCTGGAAATCATGTCAGTCATTGCACCTCCCTCAATTCAAACTACTTTATCAGGGCTTGTGTCCCTGGAAACTGGATTCAGAACTGAGTAGTGGCAGAAGCTGCCCAAGAAGGGATGGATTCTTTGGATTCTGGCAGCTCCAGGAGCACCCAAGCTCACTTTCCATTCATGGCCATGCACAAAGTTTCAGTGGGTTAGCCATGTTAGTCTATTGTAGCAAAACAAAACAGAAGCTTTGCTACAATACAATGGTACTATAAAAATGAAAAACATATATTCCTCTAATTTAGTTTGCTGTACAATGGTACTATAAAAATGAAAAACATATATTCCTCTAATTTAGTTTGCTGTAGTGGCCACCAAATGAGAAGGGAGCAATCACTGGAGAAGACCCTGATGCTGGGAAAGATTGAAGGTCGAAGAAGACGGGGATGGCAAAGGATGAGATGGTTAGACAGCATCATCGATGCAACGAACATGAAATTGAGCAAATTCAGAGGACAGCGGAAGACAGGAGGGCCTGGCGGGATCTGGTCCATGGGGTCGCGAAGAGTCAAGACTCCGACTGTGCGACTGAACAACAAAAAAAGTGGTTCTCCTTCACACACAACTGTTGGGTGACCTTGGGTCAGTCACAAGTTCTTTCAGAGCTGTTCTCCTTCAAGAGCACTTCCCTCAGAGCCCCACCTACCTCACATGGTGTTTGTTGTGGGAAGGAGAAAAGAAGGTGATAGTGAGCTGCTCTGAGACTCCGAGTGAAGGGCGGGGTATAAATCCAATAATTCTTCTTCTAAATGAGTTTCTTTGTTGCCATCATATCTCAAGAAGAACTCTGTCTCACGAAAGCTCATAGTGGAATAAACAAAGTTTGAGTCCAGTGACACATTTAAGATCAACAAGGTTTTATTCAAGGTATACGCTTTGGTGTGCACGCACAGTTCTTCAGACAGCTTATGCCTTGAATAAAAATTGGTTGGTCTTAAAGGTGCCACTGGACTCCAACTTCGTTCTGCTGCTTCAGACCAACACGGCTACCCACCTGATTCCAATTTAGCGGAATATGCCTTAGTCTTTAAGGTACTCCTGGACTTCTGTTTTGCTGTCTGCCTAGCCCACCAATGGCAGATGAGAAAACTGCAGTCCACCACGGCATTTACTAAAAGCGAAGAGAACAAAACTGTTAAGGCTTCAGCAGTCTCCTTCGTTTACGAGCTCACGCACAACCCCCCAGTCCCAAGCAGAGCTTCTACCGGAAATGAAGCACTTCAAGAACGGAAGTGACACGCGACGCCAGGACAAGCCCCGCCCCCTCTTCGCGTACGGACCCTCAAAGGTCGGGCGTCGGCTCCCCACTGCCTGACCGGAAGTAAACATATTTGGCCCGGAAGTGACGGGCCACGCTGCGGCGGATCCCACCCCAACCGGAGAGTTTTTGTCGAAGACCGGGCCCGAACGGCGCCTTCCCCCCCCCCGGAGACCACCCAACCCGGCGAGGGGGAGAGGCCCGGCGGTGTGGTGGCCTCGCTTCCTGCATGTCGGAGGCCTCGGAAGTCTAAGGGGCTGCAGGCGAGGCTGGCTTCCCCCGGAGGAGGCTCGGCTCGGTGAGTGACGCGGTTCGGCCCCCGGGCTTTGGCCTGCTCGGCGGCCTCGGCCTGGCGCCTTCCACCAGCTCAGCGGGCGGTGCGGCGGGTTTGCCTGGCTGGACGCTCCCCCCCTCCCAACGACCCCCGAAAGAGCTGCCTTTGTTTCCTTGGAGCCGCTTCCCCACGGCGAACGGGAGCGACTGCGGCGAACAACGCGTTGTGCTCGCTCGAGTCCTCGGGTGTAACGAGCCGGGGGGCCGTGGCGTCCAGTGCATGGGGAGGGGGCTCGGTCTTCGTGCGCTCCGGCCGGGAGACCGGAGACCCGGCCCCGGTTTGCTTATTGGCTGTCTCCTTGTCTCACCGAGACGCAGCGTGTTCCTTGCGTTTTCATGGTATCCAGGGGTGGGGCCTTGGCTCGGCGGCAGAGCGTCGGCTTCGCGTGCCGAAAGCCCCGGTCTCGGTCTCCCGTTGAAAGCATCTGGGAGGACAGGGCTGCAAAAGCCCCTGGAGAGCTTCGGCTTTGTTGGCAGGACGGAGCCTGGTCCTAGTTCCTGGTAGCTTCAGTTAAAAGGGCTGTGGGTAGCAGGGCTGGCCTAGACCCCGGAGAACTACTCTCCGTCGGAGTAGGCTGTGGCGAGCGGACGAGGCCGATTGCCTCACTAAGGCCGAGTCCATAGCCCGCCTTTTGCACACACGGAAGGTCCTGCGGGTTCAGTTCCTGGCACTGGCAGTCTTTAAGCAGCGGCTGGACAAACGCTCGTCAGGGATCCTCTAGGCTGATCCTGCATTGAGCAGGGGGTTGGACTAGATGGCCTGTAGGGCCCGTGCCAACTCTGTGATTTTATCTCAATGGGTTTCAGGGAGCAGGTGCTGGGAAAGACTTCTCTCTGCTTGAGACCTTGGAGAGTGGCTGCTGGTCAGAGAAGAACTAGGTAGGCCAGTGGCCTGAGGACAACTTATTAGAAGCTGTTGTAATGGAACGGTTGGCAAATGCGCAGGTTAGATGGGGGGGGTAAGTAGCTGGGCATCCTGGCACTTGCTTTATACGCTGAGGGACCCAAAATCATTCTCTGGCACGGTCTTGGATGCTGGCAAGTCCCCTGTCTACCTGAGAGCCTGGGGAGGTGCCGCCAGTGAGAGCAGAGAATACTGAGGTAGATGGACCAAAGCCATGATTTGGCACAAGGTAGCTTCCT